TAAGTTATTTATTTAATTCTATTATTACTTATTGTTACAATATTTACATATAATTTAAACTAACTAAATTATTTATTTAAAAAATTATTTAAATAATATAGGGTGTAAGTTATTTATTTGATTCTATTATTACTTTAATATTGCTATAATATCTACATATAATTTAAACTAACTAAATTCTTTGTTTGAAAAATTATTTAAATAATATAGCTCGTAAGTTATTTATTTAATTCTATTATCTATTATTACTTATTGTTATAATATTTACATATAATTTAAACTAACTAAATTCTTTATTTAAAAAAATATTTAAATAATATAGGGTGTAAGTTACAGTATTTATTTAATTTTATTATTACTTATTTGTTATAATATTTAAAACTAACTAAATTCTTTATTTAAAAAATTATTTAATATAGCTAGTAAGTTGTTATTTCTATTGTTATATTTTATATAATATATAATATTTATTTGTTAACTGTATTTTTTTATTTTAAATTTCTATTACTTTAGTTGGTAAGTTATGAAATATAGCTTATTATTATAAATATTTATACAAAACTTTGACGTATTTTATCTTAAATTCCTATTTAAATTTAGAGTAAGTGTTAATTTTAATCTTTAAATTTTAGTGTAAATTATATTATAAACTTCTAATTATTTAAATTTATAGATATGGAAAAAGTGGAAATAAAATCATAGATGAATTTATTCTTGAAAAAAAGTTAAGATGGATTCCTTATAGTAAATTTAAAAATGTTGAATATCTTAATGAAGGAGGATTTGGTACTATATACAAAGCTATTTGGTTAAAGAATGATGGAAATAATATAGAAGTAATTCTTAAATGCCATAATAATTTAAATGAAAATTTAAATGAATTTTTAAATGAAGTATGATATTATATTATTTATTTTTTCTTTTAATTTAAATTATAATTTATTTGTATTAATATATTATTATTTTTTATAGTGGAAATATCATGAAAGTTGTTCAAATTCATATGATATTATTTATTTTTATGGATTTACAAAAAATCCAGATACTTTGAAATACATGGCAGTAATGGATTATGCAAACAAAGGTAATTTAAGAAGAAACTTAACAAGAATAGTTAAAAGTGGTTGGGACCATAAATTATACATGTTGTATGAAATTATTTCTGGACTTGATGATATACATAGACTAAATCTTATTCATTGTGATTTTCATGATGGCAATATTTTAAATAATAATAATAATAAAGATGAAGAGAATAAAGCAGACAGAATTTATATTAGTGATTTAGGATTATGTCAACCTGTAAAATCATTTTTGAAAGAGTATAAGATTTATGGTGTTGTACCATTTATGGCACCTGAAGTTTTAAGAGGCAAACCTTATACTCCAGCTAGTGATATATATAGTTTTTCTATGATTTTGTGGGAATTTACATCTGGAATACCACCATTTAATAATAGAGCACATGATATTCAACTTAGTTTAAGTATTTGTGAAGGTGAACGTCCTGAAATTATTGAAAATACTCCGCAATGCTATGTTGATTTGATGAAAAAATGTTGGGATGTAGATCCATTAAAAAGTCCATCTTCTAATGAAGTTTTTTATATTATTTTTGAATGGATTTTTCTTCCTTTTTTTTTTAAATTTTAAGATATTAATGAAGAATTAAAATGCAATATTATGGAATTTATAAATGCACCAATTGGGCATAACAACCTTGCTACTGAATCTCACTCACAGGCTTGCTATACAAGTCGCTTACTTAATTTTACTAGTAAACAATTGAATGAAATTCTTGAAAGTAAAAATTCACAAACTAGTGTACAAGTGAGTGAAATGCTAATAAGCGAAGATTTGAATGAATGCATATTTAATTTGAAGAAATTAGGTATGTAAAGTGTATATAATATAGCTAGTATAATATAAAATAAATAAATTATTTTACAAACTTTAATTTTATTTATTTAACATTTAGATATTAAAACAAATGAAAATTAACTTGTGTCTTAAAAAAGATATAGTAATATTTGATATCATGCATTTAACAAAAATTGTTCTTCATTATTCTTTTTAAATTTATTTAAACACTATAGCTAGATAAAATATTTTAAGGATTCTTAGTTTGTAATTTAAATAATTCCTTTTTTTATATTCTATTCAAATATTAAAATATATGTATTCTCATTTCAGAATTATTTAAACACTAGGACTAGAGTAATAAATATTTTACAATTTCTTTAGTTCATAATTTAAAAAAACCTTTTTTTTTATAAATTATCAAATATTAAGTATATAAACCCATTTCCAATACATAAATTAAAAATGAATAGTGTAAAATACTTATTTCAACAACTGATTGTATTTAATTTATATTGTTGACTTTGATTTATCAAAAAATAACTAATGCATCATATAATCCAGTAAATATCCTTGGTTTAATTCCTATATTGACCAAATATTTAAATAATATTAAAAATAAAGTCTGCTAACTTTATTCTATTTTGATGTACAAGTACATTTATGTATGCTAAAATGATATATATTTAATTTATTGCTTGATATAATCAAATTAAAAAAATCAATATACAGTAAATTATTACATTACTAAATTACAATAAATAATTCCCTCATTATGCAAACATTTTACAGCATTTGCAAATTGAAGTACTAATTTATATTTATCATTTCATTTGAGTTTATTAAAATTCTCTTTTAAATGGAATTGTAATGATTTACAACCAGCATACTCCATAACCAATAAATATTTGTTTCCATTTTTGAGATCATAAAATTGATATAAATACATTTCTAATAGACTCAGTAAGATTGAATTGGATTAATTTGGGATTATTAATGAGTCAATTATTATTATGATTATTATTTATTACTTTTATGATGTTAGGTTTAATGTTATTACTGTACTTATTAAATAAATTATTTGAATGGCTTTACTAAAACACACCACTGGTGCCACAAAAACTATGGCAAAAATCAAAATAATTTCAGTCAGAATTTCCATGTATTCCTAAGAAATTTAATTGATTATTTTAGAAGTAAATGGTCAATTTTGTTCAGACAGTAAACAAGTTCAGCCAGAATTACCTTAATTTTAGCCATGCTAGTTTATAATACTTTATTCAGTCAGAATTTCCAGCTAATTTCGTGACTATAACCCTTTTTTTACTAATTAATTACCATAAGGAAGGCTTAATTAACGTAAGTACTCCTAAGAAAATTAATTTGTTCTTATAGAAGTAAATGGACGGAATTACTTTAATCCTAGCCACACTGATTCCCTAATTTCGGCCGGAATTACCTTAATTCTAGCCACACTGATTCCTAATTTCGGAGGATTCCGTATAACCTAGAGAAGACTTTCTTTTTTTGTTTTTAGGTGGTACAAAAAGCATATCAGTGCAGTCCTTGCATGTTGCTAGAATTATAAAATTTCCTTATTTGGCCAGTTTAGATCAATCAGATATTAGCCAATCAAATTCCATGGTAAGATCTGCCCATGGGCAGTTTAGGACCCAGGAATATATACAGTATACAGGGTAGGGTGCACAGATGCGTCGCCATCATAGTGGAGTTAGACGGAGTGAAGCTTTGATTTGTGTACAATTGAAAATTTTTTCGTCCATAGTTAGGTCATCAATTTTTATCAAAATTTTTATATGTAAAAAATTAGTTTGCGTATTTTTGGCCTAAATTTTGCTAATCTTATACAGTATATATAATATATTTACTGTACGTATTTATTTATTGTAATATTTAGCATTAATTGAAGGAAACTTCTAAGGGTTGAAAAGTGAAATTTTGACTATTTTGAAAAATATTATTGAAAAAATGATAAAATAGGATAAATTTTATTTTTCACATTAGTATTGATTTTATAAATAATATAGAAGCCATGATAAAATAATTATGATAATGTGAATTTATTTGCGTATTTTTGCAGGTTTTTCAATATCAGGTGTCAATTATGCGTACTATTTATATAAAAAGTCCCTGCGTACAGCTCATAATAAAAAAATTTTTGCCACCTGTCCCCTATATATTTCTGGGTCCTGGCTAGAGATGCAGTTGGAACTCGAACATATTGGGATGAGCCGTATTACAATTCACAACTGAGTTATAACTAGTTATAACTCTTTACTTTAAGATACGGCAAATTGGAACTGGTAAATGCGCCGTAACTGGTGTATGTGCCGTAATTGGTATATGTTGCCGTAACTGGTATATGTGCCGTAAATAGTCACTATAACTTGTGTGTAATATTTATTAAATTTAAATTTTCTTAAACCATATTTACATACTTTATTTTATACTTTATAATATATCATATCATTCTAATTATTCATTCTTTTTCTCCTTCATTACTATTAAAATTGTTGTTCCATGAAATTTATAATCAAAGAAGTTATTTAAATCAGTATGAAAACTTAATTTTTATAACAAATTCGGAGAGATTTAAAAAATTTATACTGTTAAGCCATGTATACTATTAAATTATTTTATGCTATCTACTTAGGCTATTTATACTCTACGGAATCATTGGCCACAGTAAAGTTACGGCATTAATAACTTTAACGGCACATTATGCCAGCCAGTTCATTGGGACAGTTCTAACTGCATCACTACTCACTAGTCCTGGCAATTTCTTACTAGCACAGACTTTCAGCTTATGGACTATGTCGATCATTTGTATTGGGTGCTTATACAACCGGGTCAGTAATTAATAAAGAACACGTAATATATTTCAAAATATCATCATATTTTGCGATGCAAAAAATGGCGCAACAATATAAAAAGTTGTCCATTAATTATTATATTTCTCACTTTCCTTTTACGCTTCTTTTCGTTAAACAGCTTTTGCATTGTGCTACAGCTATGTCAAAAATATCACTCTGGCTATAATTATAAATTTTTTCAAGGTTACTATAGTTACCATAGTTACCACAGGCGATAATTTGATTTTACATTTCAACTACTAACAAAGGGAAATTATTTAAGAACTGCCGCAAATTGACGTTTATTCAACTTGCACAATATATCATAATATTCATAATTTTGATTTTATTCTTGAGAGTGGACGATTATTTTTTTTTTTTATATCTGGGCATTAGACAGTGAGAGTCGTCTTCGTGAACGATTTCTTGTTCTTGTTCAAAATATAACAAGTTATAGAGTCACTTAAATTTCTTGCGATTGTTTTACACACGGAATTCAGGAAGGAATGTAATGTTGTTTGTATACTCGAGAGGGTATATCTGATGTGTGACTGGTCGAATTTTTTTTATTTTTTATCCATCCGTACAGTTTTTTTATATTCCTTTTAGTATGTCCGTTTGTCCACCCCTCTTTCTCTTTTTTATTAATTATTTATCACCATATTTTTTTTTTATAAATTATTATTTCATGTATTTTGATGTGTACTTTTATATTTAAGTAATTTATTCTTCGTTATTATGTATATATTAATTGCTTTTTTTTATAATTATTACAATATTATAATACGTTTAATCACGAAAAGACAACGGTATATACGAAATTAACAAAAATTTTTATCGCTTTTATTGTGGTATCATATATTTGATTAAAAATAAAACCATTTTGATGAATTATATTTGTACGATAGTTTAACCGCATCTATCATCGATCAAAAAAAAATCCCTATTTTTTTAAATTTCTAGAATTGCCAGATTGGCTGGCCCTTAGTTCCATTGATTCTGGCTGGTGAACCGGGTCCGATTGATCAACATCTGGAATTTTTTGATTTGTAATCATTTGTAATCATCCGGATCCATGTCTTCTGTCGTCATTACATGGAATCCGAGCTAATTCCACATCGGATCCAATGGGAACCTGGGGCGTACGATGGCTATACTAATTTGTAGAAATTACCGTTCAAGGTTAACCAGTTAAAAATGGTTAATTTAACCGGTTAATTTATTCGGTTAAAATGCAGATCATGCATGAAAAAAGTTAATAAAATTACACGTCAACGAGTGTTAAAAAAAGTTAACTATAAGTTGGAGCTTAATCTTGCTGAAATTAGGGCGTAATGCATTAATTCCGGTCAAATTTTAATGCCGGCCAGAATTAAGTTTAACTGGTTAATTAACCGGTTAAGGTTTTTTGGACCGGTTCTAAGCTCTAAATTAACATTACATTAGCACTTAATTCCAAGAGGAAAGCTGCTGTGTCTATCAAATTATTGAATGTTTTATTTATTTTTATTTTTTTATTTTTACTTTAGAAAGGTAGATACATTTGTGAGATACGAAGATACATTGAAATTTTACAAAAAAGTCATGCACTATTGATCTAAAACTAAATGTACAAAATCCAACCGGCGGACCCACCCTTCGTTAGAACGAACTGACTAATGGAAAACTAGTCGCCATAGCAGTGAACGAAAAAATTATTGAATGAATAATGGGAAGGATGTAGCGAACGATCACGTGGTGCTACCACAATTTTTTTTGCTTAATTTTTGTGATTAATATTGACGTAAAACATTATGTAATGTGGCACAATAAGTTCATAGCACGTCATTTATAATGTAGCTACTGTGCATACTCTTTAATCCAGTAAAATAAAAATTGTGTAATATAGACGTATAGTATGTATAGTATTTTCTCAATCAAACCAACATCGATAATTGAAATCATAATATAAAATGATTGATGATAACACCATAATATAATCGTGTGTGGTGAATCGATACAGAAAGTTTGTATTAAAAAGCGATTGTTTTTTTTATTAGTTCCTTCACTTACTAACCTATTACCGATGGTGAAATAGGTAATTTGCTATATATAATCAAATATGTGTATGTACAATATGTGTGCGTATGGGTGTTCTCAGGCACCTCAATTGTTAAAATGATCGGTTTTAGTTTTCTATTTTTATGAATAACAAGCGAGCTAAAAACCGTCTTTTTTCTCCAATGATCCTCAATCGATAGAAAACGCTCTATGCATCCATCATAATTTCATATCCGCCGGTATGTATAAAAATAAAATCTAAGTATTAATTAATACATGTAACACTACATTTTTCTCCAAATAGATCTCCCCACCAAGATTTTGTATGACTTAGCAGACCTAGTAAAATTAAAAGTATAGATATTATAACACCACAAAGGCAAAACCATCCATTAACGTATCTATTGCCCCCTACGAATTTTTCTCCTGAAATATGGGAAATGTATGCGATAAAACTGTTAAATGACCAAATAGAAGACAATACTGTGAGATATTTGGCTCGACAGCCATATCCCACTGGACGGGTGAAATAGGCAAGAAGTACTGACATCCAAGGGATGATCACTGAGAATAAAACAAAAGTGATTATAACTTGAGCATCTTGAGAACTTCTCTCATTGTGTGGGAGGTCTTTTACAACTAAATACATGTTTCCTAATACTTGTCTAGGGTCGTTGACTACCATTCTCCCTCTAGATACCCTCCTATAAATTGCTGGAAATGTCCAGGCTAATGCCAGTGGTAGATATGGCCAATCCTCTCCAGTGCATTGTCCTATACGTATCGCCTTAGTTATTCCTGAAAATATACCGAGAAATATATAGTACGCGGATGCCAATGACGATAATCTGTCTAGCACAGATGCTTCCGCTATACATTCCTTGAGTAATTTAACAACAGTATTATCCTGTTCATCTATCGCTATTTTCATAGTATAATGACCAAAAGGTCTGTAGGGAATTTTATATCCGTCTTTCATAAAATGGTCCGATGTGAGCCAGTATGTACTCATTGCTATTGGGTCACTACCTATGTTGCAGGTATAAAATAATCCGGTAAATGGACAACCAAGACATCGTAATATCCATAATAATTTATTTGTTAACCCGTTATCTGGTGCTGCTCCTATTGTTGCTATAGCCGGTACGCAACCTAATACGTACTGAGGTGCGGGATCTTGTAATGATTGAAGTAATTTTGTTAATGAATCTTCTTCAACCATTGATATTATTTTATATTTGCTCAACAAATAAAAATTGGAAGTTTTTGTTTAGCAGGATAAAAGATGTGACCTTTATATATTTTCTTATATTTGTGAAAATCTTAATAAAGTTACTGCATGCATTTTATTAAATTAATGAAACGCATTAGTTTTTGTCGATCAAAGTATTAATAACAAATAGGCAATTTTTTTTAAAATTTGAGACTATTTCGGAATTACAATCAAAAAATCGGGATTTTAATTGGTTAATTTTATATAGAGTTTCATAAAGATAAAGAAAATCCGGTTTGTGTTCAGAAACTGGATTAGGGAAATGGTTTATGTAATTTTAGCTGACAATATTTAAAGAGGAGAATCCCCTATTAAAAACGGAAACCTATTTTAAAAAAAAATGTCTGACAAATTTCATGAAATTTATAAACATTTTTCAATTTACAGAAAATGGATACATAATTACAGGTTTATTATTATTATTATTACTTTTTGTAAATCATCGACATTCGTTACTATTTTTACACGATTCCGCAAATTAATTATGATTTTTTAAGGTATCACCGATTGCGTGAAACAAACAATTAAGTAGTACATAAAGTATAATTGATCAAATTCGGTCCGAAATTGAACTTTAAGTCATAGTTAATATTTTTTTTTGTCGGAACCATTTCTGATATAATTTCCAAATTTTCTTTAATGTAATGTATATCCTATAAATTTTATTGGTTTTTTTCTCTATGTTCATCTGGGAATAAATTTTTTAAAAAAAAAATTATCCCTTTTTTAATTTTCGTTACTATATCGAGACTTTTAGGTTTGGCAACAGATTTATATTATAGTTGAAAAGGAAAAAAAAATTTTTTTTTATCGCCCAAAAAGTTGTTAATTTAAACAAATAAAAAAAAAAGTTTCTACAAATCGTTATGAATGGTCCATGCAATTACGTAAATGATGATTAATTAATTTAGTCCATTTTTCGTTTCAACTTTCTCGAACCCGCTATCATTTTTTTTTTTTTTTAAAAAAAAAGCAAATATAAATTTTTTATTAATTGTAATATATAGTATAATATATTTAAGCGTTTGAAGATGTTACGCCATTCGTTCGTTTGAAGAATTTTCGTTCGTTAATTTCAATGATCGGTCAAAATTTACACAAAATAAAAAAAAAAAATGATTTTCAATATTGCAATTTTTTAGGGTATTACTAAATATCACCAGCGGTGACGGTCACCAGTGGTGAATTTATGATGTAATACCGGCCAGTATTTTAGATTTTAATTCTGGCCAAAGTACATCATAATGCTGGTATGGTGAGCATCACCACTTGTTAATTTTAGTAATACCTAGACGATTAACCTATTTTTTTTTCATTCTCTTAAAAAATTCACGTGGATAATACTAATTTTAGCCCCCTAGTTCCATTGATCGATTGATCAACATCTGGAATTTTTTTGATTTATAATCATTTGTAATCATGTCTTCTGCCGTCATTATATGAAATCCGAGCTAATTCCATGTCGGTTCCAATGGGAACCTGGGGCGAAAATTAATATATCCCTTATAACATAAGAATTTATTTTGTCAGAAAATAATACAGTATTATAACTAACATGTTATATTTTTACTTTGTGATAAATTAAGAAATAAAGAAAACTCTAATAATTAAGCCGAAAAATTTTACTGTAAAGAAGTAGTTTCACCCAAAAAATAAATTTTAGATCAACTTGTCCCTAATCTCTATGAAAAATACTAATCCACATATAAATATATAAGATAATAATTATTATTATAATAGATTGTCAAATTCAAAGAAGTAATAATTTTGTTTTTACGTACAAAAAAATAATGTATAGTATGACCCTGAAAAAGTCTCATATAGCACCTCTGCACCTGATGGTAACAACTAGGATTAATAGAAGGCATGCTTTTATTATAGGATATCAGTTTCTACATTGTTAATAAAACACATTGTAACGGTACGGAACATGAATTAATTAAATTTTGTGCGCACATTAAATTGTGTATCTATTCTCGAAATCTGAGATTTATGAAATGGAAAATCGTTTAGCCGATCGTTCTATTTAACGTTTAACGAAACTACGAAAACGATAAAACTGTAGTTTGCTCTTGACCCTTTGTATTTTTTTAATATACTAAAATGTCATGCACAAATAAGGTGCTTTAATCTTTAAAAAACTAATTTTTTTTTTATTAAAATGGAATTTAACGGAGTCGTAACTTTTAATATATAATTAGGGCTCGCTCGATCCGTTCCGGTTCTGAAACGATACTATTGAGTGAACCGTTTCGAATGGATAAACCGGTCCCGATTCCACAATATGATTTGGTTAGTTCGGTCCAAAACTGAGTCGGTTCATATCAATAATTTATTGGAACCGAAAGTACTGAACCGAACAGGAACGAGCCGTCTTGAACCGTTCAACAGCGAACTTTTCCCATCCATATATCATGTAAAATTATAAATAAATATTATTATGTATAATAAGTTAAATAAGAAAAATTGAAACCGGGATTTAATAGGTTAATTTGATTGCTTTTTCTTTTTTTTGAATCATAATAATGCCATTTATTGATCAATGACAAATAAAATAAGCGTTTATTTTGGATTTATTTTCTTAAAAAAAAAAAATAACACAATATAATTCTAATTGCTGTTATAAAAATAAAAAAAGACATCTAAAATAATACTGAATTTGTCATCTGAAGTAAAACTAAAGATAGTTGTTAGCGCTAAATGCATGCTTCATTATACTTTCTTTTAAAATTTAATATATTTGATTACTAATAAAAAAACTCTTGAGCAATTGAATAGTTGTATTTTATTATTTATTAAAAAGTAAAAATAATTTTCTTAGCGATATAATTCTAAACGATGTAAAAGATACGGACCGCGCAATAGCAAATGATCCAAAAAAAATTGGTCACATGATTTAAACAAAATTTTGCGATAAGTTTTAGATGTTCAGTTCATAAAAATTATTATAGGTTTTTGTATGTAAAATGTAAATACTTCCTGCGAAAAAAAATTAAGAAATGGGGATGACAGATTTTCTATGGAAGATTATTTTCTAACAATTGAAATACTTCATATTCTTTTTATTCTACCTGGCTTAAAATTTTGTGTCGTATATACATAATTTATAATTCTTAGCGACACAACTATTCAATAAATATTTTCTAAATATTGTATAATACATACGATTGTACATTTTGCAATGCAAATTTTAAAAGGCATGATTTTTTTTCATCGATGAATGTATTTGGCATGGATAACGTGTGAATATTTTTCTAAAATTTTAATTTAATGACATTTATAGGATTCGCGATTAAGATAATTTGGGATATGACGCAGATGGATCACTGCGGAATGGTAATACGAATGACAAGCTAAATATGTTTAATAATAACCGTCGACCAAGCAACCGTTTTCAGGATGAAACTTATCGATGTACATTGTAATTGCGAAAAAAAAAAATTTTTTTTTTTTCAAAGATTTAAAAGATTTACGAAGTTATGATCGTAGACGGAATTTAGTTTTAGGTTTATCACTCCCATCTGTTTTATCAATTTTTTTTTTTTAAAAAAAGTGCTATTTATTTATTTCATTATATATATAGCACACCCTGCATTCACGCGGGTGCGTAGAAAATAAAAACCTAAATTTAAAATAATAAAATATTATTTCTTAATCCGTCAAAAAATTATTTAATGGTATTTTTCATAATTGATCCTATAAGTACAGTAATAATTGCTGAAAATATTATTACACCAATTACAGTAACGACTAATTTTATTGGAAAAATTATGACATAATATAGAATAGTTTTAAATGTCCCCCATTCTAATAAAGTTTATTAAAAAAAAAAAAAGATTAATATAAATATTAGATAAAAAGATTAATTAATGAAATACTTCTTACCAGAATGATAATATTTAATAATTGAGGCGATTCTTTCATCTTGATTATCTACAAACTGAATAGCGTTTTCTTCATCATTCGTAACTGAAGCTCCAATTACTTTTAGCGCAAATTTTTCTTGCGCATATTTTTTATATGTTATAGATTGGTATTTAACTTTATTTCTAGCGATATTTCTAGATACTTGGGCAGTTTTTCCAGTATTAGTATTAAGCCACTTAGTTTCAATAACAATATAAACACCATAATCTGATCCAAAAATCAAATCACCGATTCCATAATGAAGATAATCTTCATTAACACACCATTCGAAATCAACAAGATAATTGAAACCGGGGAAAATTTTGTCAATATTATTAATTAAATAATTCTTCATTTTTTCTTCTGGATGATAAATATTTTTATTCTGATCCCATTCTCTTCTTTTCTCTCTGTCTGTTCTCTTTAAATTTCTAACATAAGGTTGAAACCATACTTTACAAATTTTTAAAACATTCGCTAATGTATTTTCATTAAAGTCAACACGAACAAGTGAATGATGAAGAAGATGTGCGTTAACATCATTCGATTGAAATACTAATTTAAGCAGCTTATCAATATAAAGACCTTTATATTTAGAAATGTCAAAACAATTATAGGTATCCGTGGAAGAAGATAAAATTTCTGTGCATATGTCAAGAACAAATATTCTTTGTTGTTCATCGTCAACATCAACTCCATAGAAGAATGACATTATTCGAAAGTTTTAAAAAAAATTGATAAAAATTTTTTTTTCATTTACATGTTATGCATGTGGTATATATATAAAGAATTTTTATTTAATTTTTTTTTTTTTTTTTTTTTTNATTTTTTTTTTATAGAGTAAAAATCATATGTAAATGCAAAGCTGTCTTTGTCTCCCAACTTTAGATTTAGAAATTACCTTTTTCATGATACAAAACACTGATAAACGTAAAAATTGCTCGATTTATTCGGAAATCTAAAAATCAGAGCAGATCCAGTATGAAAAGCCGGTAAATATTTTTTTCCTGATTCTATTTTAAGCATGGATGTACACAAAAGTATAGTATATTACAAGAAACAAGAATTTATTATCATTATTGATATTTCATGTTATCTGGTGCCACTTAATAATTATTTAAAAAATTATTATACAAAAAGTTAAATTAAATTAATATATTAATATATTTAAATTACGCAAATTGCGCAAGCAAAACTTTCAAAAAATAATTAATATTTTTATACATTAAGTTTTATCATTATGGATTATAAATTTATTTCAAGTATTTAACGTATGTTAAAAATTAATTAATATTAAGTATCATCATCTTAACTTTTTGCAGCTTATCCACAATCTTTTGCGATTGAAACGATCAAATTTAAAAAAAAAAATAAAAAATAAATTCAAAAAATTGATTCAAAAAAAAATATCATTTTTAATTAATAATGTCCATCGCCTTGTAAAGTCAACTCAACTGTAAAGCATTTGAACGCCAAATTGTAACTAAATCGTCTAAAAAATAAAGTATTAATTTAATGTGTAACTTAATGTCAGGCAAGTGTTACTATAAATCACGTTTGCATAATGGCAATTTTGACTATTTACAGTAAGTCTTAACGGATGGATTTTCAAATTCGTTATTGTGTGAAACGATAACGGAGTGTTTTCTCCCTAATGATGTAATGCTTATATATTTTGTCCAATAATCCTACAATTTATTAACCCTTTTCTTTTAATTATAAACAAAAAATCAATGGAAACATGTAAAAATTGTAGAGTAATTGGATGGTGTGAGTATTGTAAGGTTCAATCTAATAAATACTCTCCGTCTATTTGTGGATATTGTAAAACCATAAAACTACTATTATGTAATGAATGCGAAAATCCGAATTGGTCGAATTGGTCAAGTGGAAATAAGATTGTAGATGATTTTATTAAAGAATGTAATAAACCAAATGAAGTTTTAAAATGGATACCCTATAACCAATTTAGTGAAATTACATATTTAGCAAAAGGTGGATTTGGAGAAATTTATAAAGCTAAATGGAAAGGAGCTTATGTTGTCTTAAAGAAATTATATGATTCTCAAAATATAACCGTTGATTTTCTTAATGAGGTATCTCATAATACTACATTTAAATTACGAGATTTATTATATTAATAACTCACTTTTGTATTATAATTGTAGGTTAAAAATTACATTCAGACTATGGAATCAAATAGAAAAAATTGTGATACTTCTTTTTTAACTAGATTTTATGGAATTTCGTATGATTCAATTACTCAAAATTTCATAATGGTAACTGAATATGCTGATAAAGGAGATTTAAAAAAAAATATCATGGAACCTGTAGAATTTACAAATTATAACTTTAGAGATAATGATTATTACAAATTTAGTACCAATAAAAGAATTATATTCGATATTGCTCAAGGACTTAAGATAATACATAGCTCTGGTTTAGTTCATTGTGATTTGCATATAGGCAATATTTTATTAAGAAATCAGCATCAAATGCCAATCTGTATAAGTGATTTTGGATTAAGCCAACCTGCAAATATATCATCATCAATCAAATCATCAGGAATTTATGGTGTTATTCCATATGTTGCACCCGAAATATTTCTTGGGAAACCATATACACAAGCGTCAGATATTTATAGTTTAGGAATTATTATTTGGGTATTATATTCACTTGAAGAACCTTATAATAACAGATGCCATGATGCAAATTTAATTCTTGAAATTATAGTAAGAGGTCTTCGTCCAGAAATTCCTCCTCAGTTAAGTATTCCTAATTATATTAAAGAATTGATGGAAAAATGTTGGGATTCAGATCCAACAAACCGTCCAACAGCTGAACAAATTATTACAATGCTAAAGGAAGGTCCGAACCAACCTTTCTTAGAAAATTCGCACAGGAAAAAGGTTTGTCTTCTTAAAATTATGAATCTAATCGGTAATCATCCTGGTACTTGTTATACAAGTCGATTCTTGTCGTTTCAAAGTGTTAAAGAACATCTTTCTCGATCAACTTTAGGTAATATATTTTTATAAACTATTTTGTTAAATTTGATCTTATAATTTAAATAGTATTATTCTAAATTTTTGTAGAAGATTCTGGGAAGAGTAATCTTTCGCTCCCAACATCAATTAATAATGATGATTTTATAAGAGGTAAACTAAATATTAATTATTAATCGATTTTATAAAAGGTTGACTTTATTTTAAAATAAACAGATTTTGGAGATGAAATTATCGCTCTTCCAACATTACCAAATACATCAGTAACATCACTACCCCAGAATTCTTGAAAGAAAACACAAATGTTTTAACATATACGTATAGAAATAAGCAACACCTGAGTATTAAAGAAATTTAGAAGTGTTGATGTTGACGAATTAAATTCAGATTACTAAAAAAATTTATTTTATTTTATTATATAATTTACCATTATATTAAATATTTTTTATTTTATTATTTTATTTATTATCTCATTATATGATTAAATAGTTAAATAACAAATTTACTGAGAATGTTCGTGACTACTTTTTATATTATGTACTGCACAACTATTTACTTTATTAAATACGGTTAAAAAAACATATTTACAACGTGCGTAGTCTCACATTTCAAAGTTAATATTATAAAGAATTAATAAAAGTAAAGAAACTGTTTTTAGCTAACTCTAAAATCACGCTCGGTTAAATATTTTACATACAGTAAAGCGTTAAGTAATAGAATTACGTCATAAAGAAAGAATCAAATTGACATTGAATTTATCATTGATATTGTTAATTTATCATTCTAATTTTATGAGCCAAAGCTTTTAAATCTTTCGAATATATTATACGTCAATTTAAATTTTTTAAAATCTGAACCTTATTTTTTAAAGCTAGAAAATTTTCGCTCCTTTTAATAAAAAAAAAATCGACTTGCGAAAGAGTTGTTATCGTTATTATGGAACAAAGTATAATGGGATTTTAAATATAGGGCCGCAACATGATAATTAAGTAAGGTAGAATTTTATTAATATTAATATATTATTTATTTTGAGCGATATGTGATATGTCTTTCTTTTTTCTTTTAACATTCAATAAAAAGTTGAAGTTGTTCTTTAAATAGTAGATGCTACAGGAATGTGAGATATACTGTTAAATAACCACGTAGAACGTTAGGCTAATGAAATAAGAGTATTGATATCCATTATCACTAAGAATGAAAAGGAGCTATCATAGTATGCCATTTTTTCTTGTCGTATAGGAAGTCTTTCAAGATAATATGCATGTTTCTTAAGTTATATTTGAGACATTCTCTAGTTAACTATCCTGTAAATTGCTTTACAATGCCATGCATAAACATATCAATCACCCTAACAAAGTTTGCACTTGATATTAAGGGTCAAATCACAGTATTTCACGTGTTATTGTTAAATACTTTACAAAATTGTCGGATTTTTAGTTTATTTTCTCGAGAATTCTTAAAAACATTTATCCATATAAAAATTTTTAAAGTATCAACTTCACAAAGACTTACTATTAATTTGAATCCCAAAATTGAACCGATTAATTATATATTTCAATTCCCAGAAATATTAATATTGATGGAATTGATGAAGCCGAGATGGACAATGCTAAAAAGTTACATTATGTGATAATAAACTAATTATTATTACTATTATTAAAGTAAAAGAAACGGAAGGTGGATATAATATTATTGCCATCTGATAGTTATAGTAAAGACAGTCATAGTTTTATATTTCATTTAAAACTTAGTAAGAAATATTTTATTAATTTTATTTTTAAATAATGTGAATCACGCAATAGGAAATGGTCCAAAACATGGTCCAAAATTTGTGGTAGGGTTCATTAGAAATTTATAAAAATTATCCTAAGTTATACTTTTACGAAGAAGTGAGGAAATTTTCTATGAATGGTTATGAAGTATTTTAAATTATTAGAAAACAAAAACATTATCATTGGCTTAAAAATTTTTGTCGTATGTACATAATTTGTATTTGGCCTGTTCAACAAAATATATATTAATACGGGTTGTATGGAAAAAAAAGATTGTAAAACTTTTTCTTTATGCTTAAAAAATTTCTGCACTTCATCAGAATGTCATCCGAATTTTGCAAGACATGATTTTTTACATGATATTGATAACATGGAAATCAATGACATTTATAGGACTCATGATTAGATAATTTGATTATAACTTGAATTTCAATTTTTCAAGAAAAAATGACGCAAATGGATCAATTGCGGAATGGCGGGTAATACGAATAACGAATAAAATAGTTTGGCTATTAACGTCGTCTAAGTAAACTACATGTGATATAAAATTCTCCTGACGAAAAATCGAATGATTTTCCTTAATAAGGAGTCAAAAAAAAAAATTTTTAATTTACACGTCCAACACAAAACTTGTTTTGCTGCGGAGTTATGCTTGAATAAGTTGAATAAGTTTAGATTAGAGATAATATATTGGTAATCACTACAATGCATCACACCTTTCATTTTTCATTTTTACTGTTTACTCTAGGAACAGATTTTTTTTCCATTTTATCACATCCTGCATTTTGCGCGAGTGCGTAGAAACTAATTTAAAATATCAAAATATTGAATCTTTAATTTGTCATAAAAGATCTTTATCATTGTGTCAAAAGTATTATTAGATAAACATTTCAAATGTATAAATACATTAATGGTGCTTTAAAATAGTAATTTGATTATGGAACGGTTAAAATAGCTAAACCTACAATTACAGCAACAATGACTAATAATACTATTATAATATAATATAGAATGGTTTTTAATATTCCCCGTTTTTCTGGACTTTCTTCCCATTCTTCTAGAATTTTATAAAAAAATCATTAGTTTACGAAAACAAAAAAAAAGATTAAACACAGATTAACTAATGAAATCCTACCACGGTCGAAATTATAAAGATATTGAGTATGAATTTCAATAATTTTGGCGATTCCCGCATCTTGATCATCTACAAACTGAATGGAATTTCCTGTATCATTTGTAAAAACAGCCCCAATTGCTTTTACTGCAATAAATTTTTCTTGCGCGTATCCTCTATACTTTCTAACTCGGTTTCTAGCTTTTTTTCTAGCGTTTACTTGCGCTTTGCTTAAAGTATCAGTATTAAACCACTTAGTTTCAATAACAATAATAACACCATAATCTGATCCAAAAACCAAATCACCAACTTCATGATGTCGATGATTCTCATAAACATCCCAATTGAAATCAATAAGATAATTAAAACCAGGTAAAATTTGACCAATATTATTAATTAAATCATTCTTCATATTATCTACTTGATTATTCATGTTACTATTTTGGTTCCATTCTCTTCTTTTTTCTTTGTCTAATCTCCTTAAACTTTCAACATAAGGTTGAAACCATACTTTACAAATTGGTAAAATACTCGCTAATGAATATTGAATTATGTTAAAAGTTATAAAAGAATTAGGAGAAAAATACATTTTGACATCATTTGATCGAAATACTAATTTATACAATTCATCAATTTCAAAACGACTAAGATCATTAGATTGAATTCCAAAAGAACGGGTATCTGAAGACAAAAATTTTGTACATAGGTTAAGAACAAATGTTCTTTGTCGTTCATTATTAATATTGACTTTAAAGAAGATTGACCGAATATAATCTGATAAATTCATTTTAAAAAATTGTTAATTGTTTTTTTTCACTTGCATGTTATATAAAGAATTATTTATTAAATTTTTTTTATTTACTTATTCATTTATTTTGGAGTAAAAATTATATGTAAATGCAAAGACGTTATTGTTTTCCAATTTTAGGTTTAGAAATTACCTTTTTAATGATACAAAAACACTGATAAACTTATAAATTGCTCGATTTATTCGGAAACTGAGAGTTAGAACAATCTTAAAGCATTGCATGATTCAATTGATGCATACAAATATATAATTTTGGATTTTAAGTTTGTGACCTAACTCAAAAAGGTTTCCCATTTTTTGGGGGCTTGGAGGGTTATAAAGACTGGGTGTCACAACATTGTTCTCTTTTCTATTAGATTAGATTTCTCTTTTACTTCGTGTTCTTCTAGTGCTAAATAAACAAATAAATAAACTAAAAAGATCCTTTGTATCATTGATACACCCCAGCCCAATGATCGACATCCAAGAATGAGCCAGAATTAGTCTATCTAATCTTTAAATAGGATGTTGGGAATTTGAAAGATATTTCCGAAATCGTTTCTACACTTAATAGTATTAGCTCCAAAAAAAAAATTCTGAAGATGGTGAAATAACAAAAGAATTAGAAAATCATGTCAAATTAGAGATTACTAGATTTTTATTTTCGATATTTTATTTATTATTTTTTTTTTTTTTTTGATATTATGATGTTAGACAAATTTAGACAAAAAAAAAAATACATAAATGAATAAACGTTTTATAGAATTCATGTTTATTTGTAATTACCCGAGATTATAGAATGTGAAAGCACATGGTTACAACAAACATCAAAACGAATACTACTTTATATGCGAACTAACATCCCCATATTAACATTATACAGGACAGGAAAGACTGCTTCAATCCGAAGATTTCTCCAGACGTCTGATTATTCCAATACGATTTGAAGATGGTCATACGTCAATTTATGTGTTAGGCTTGGCTCATTTCAGTGAAAGCTAATTTATCAAAAATCGGTTGTGCTTTGATGTTTTATTTCTCTAGATTCGAACCGGCGTTGATCAACAAAAAATGTCCTAAAGTGTTATAATATAATGCGCACTTGCAGCTGGCGTATTAGTAAGTACAACGTTCTATTTTTTTACATACAGTATATTATCATTACTATTCCCTCTTACAATGTTTTACTCGTCACAAAAAAATGTATAACTTCTATGCCAGCTAATGGTCATATAACAACTGAAACGTATCTTTTATGTTGGCGGAGTTAAAAATATAATACGTAGGATTTCTACGAAAAGAAGACTTGCAACCCAACGTTCTAAGTTTTGCCATGATTTAAAAAGTCGGTGAGTTCAAGAACAAATCAAATATCAATATGGCACCATTACGTTAAATTAAATACTTAACGCAATAACGCAAATACTTAATATATTTAGCATGTCAATGATGTTAATAAATATTTTGCTAATCCGGATCTCTCCAGCAATACCGTTTGATGATGAATATAAAAGGTGGTTTACTTTGCTTTTCAATTCCTCAGATCATAATGGACAACAACAATCTACTTGATGTTCATATTCCAACCACTCGGACCATGATCATGAAAATCCTCTCGTAGGCCAAGCAAACGAAGCAAATAAAACAAATAGAGAAAAAATTACAAAATCTAGGATGGGATATTAGCAACCAAATGATTTATATATTATCATTCTTTGTATTACAGAAAATGCTATCCGTAATTTGTGGCATCCTGATACCGTAAAATTTTACGAATTTTATCTTGCTTACTCAAACTCTAATCGTTCTCAACGGTTCGTCGGATATATCAAGAAAAACATAATCAACATATTAAAGCTTATTCTTCACTTAATTGTACTATTGATTTCGATATATACAGTAGTAAGTACGCTTGATGGCTTTTATTGGACATGTATTATGATGATATACGAAACAAAAGAGGAGTTGAAATATGTATTTGACAAAAATCAATATCCCCCAGAAATTAAAGATTAAATCATTCATTCGTTAATACACATACATATACGGTTGTTTAATTCTTGTAGTTTTTTCGTCAAATAAAAAAAAGTTTTCAATTATGGTGCAGTTACACGTTGTTGAGTTCACAACTACTCACGTGATTTTACAATTCAATCTGTAGAAAAAGTAGAATCTACGGTTTACAGTTTCGCTGAAGTCATACTAATACTAATTAATCTTCCGGTAACGTGGTAATTCTCTATCCTACTAGTCTACTAACATTCTTCTCCACAGTCGATAGATTAAATAAACAACGAGACCATGATCTAAGGTCACAGTTCATCTCCGCAATTGATATTTGTTATCCACTAAGCCCTATAGGATCACGATCTGGGACATCGTCATATTAACCAAAAAAAGCGAATTATGACTCAATCCCCTTAAATCATTAAATCATTTCAAATCATTATGCAAGAAGCCTGTGATTTATTAATTTATTTTTTATAAATTTTTATTGAGATCAATATTATCATGTCTTCTTCCATAGCACCATTTATCTGCAAATGGACCGATTCTCATTCTAAACCACCGTGCTTTTACACTCAGAAGGGACTCGAGCTTCACGTCTACAATGATCACAAGGATTTGGCCAATTTAAGGTAGGTTTCCTAATTATTACTTGAGAAGAGTCATTAGGTTTTTACTTTCTGATCTGTTCTTATGCAGAGTGTTTCATCAAGGACGCCAATTTTATCAATGTCCGTGGGAAAATTGTGAAAGGCGACAGAATGATATTTCTCAATTAAAAGGTAAAAATAATATGCCAGTACTTAAGTACTTCCTGACGCTGTAGTGAATTGTAATAATCTATTATTGCTTTCTTGCAGAACATTTGCGTGAACACACTCAACAGATGCCATTTAAGGTAGGCTCAAAGAATTAGTTTTGCCTGCTACTTTGCATTGACTTTATTTCTTTCATGTTTAGTGCCCAATTTGCAATAGTTCTCGATTTGGATCCTTTGGTAAACTAGAACGACACCTGGTTTTTATCCATCGTGACAGAGTTATTGACTTTACAGCCACAAATGATATGACGAAAAAGGAAAAAGGTACTCTTTCCTGCTTTCTACTTCACTACCTCATAAAATAACTGTTATTTCTTATTGAAATAATATAATTATATCATGAATTATCTAAAGCTTATTTTATCCTCTCTTTATTTGTCAAAAAAAAAAAAATAATCAAGGCGATACTTTTGAGGATGAAGATGACGATTATGTTATATGTAAAGCGCTTGCTGAACAATGCGATTCGAAATTTATTAAAGAACAAAAAGCATTTTATGGACTTGAAGATCTTGATCTTTAACTCTATTCCTAGTAAAAATTTTTTCATTTATACCTCGATCAAAAATTAGCTGTTAAAAAATCAGCTGTCAGTCGATACTCTTTATATATTATACATCATGTGACATATTCGAAAAAAAAACCCAGGCGATGATCGCCCAGGCGACAATTGCCCAGGCGACGTTTAGCAATTCCCTTTTTGTATATAGTAGTTTATTCTTATTATTATTCCGTATTTTGAGTAGTTTATTCTTTTTATTTTGTATTTTGATGATATCATGTTGGTAGTTTAACTCATTGTATAAATCTGCCACGCAAAGATAACACGTTATAATTAAAGTACTCCAAATAATTCTTTAATATACTGTAATTATTTTTAAGAACTTCATAATTAGTACATTAATGTTAAAAATGTCACAAAATAATTCTTTAATGAGCCGCACCCAATAAAATAATATATTTGCCTTGTTAAGTCAATATACTCATGCAAATGGTTATGAATTTTCAAAAATTATATTTTACGTTGATATTCTTCATTGATTGATATGACCATAATTTGGACGTTCAAATACAATTGTCTAACTACTTATTAATTGGCGTATATTAAAATTGTTATAAATGTTTCCTTGTAAGAGTTTTTTAATATTTAATATCAACCGATTACGTCCTAATTTGATTGCGGCACATTTTGATTTACATCAAACTTCAATACCATCATCTCTTCTTTCCAGTCAAATAGGATTGTGATTAATGCTATAAAAAGAACTAATCAGATCAAAATGTCATTTCTAAAAACAATGTTTACCGCTTGTCAAATTCAACTCGTGTAAATCATTTGACTAAAATATTCAACTCTAAAAAAAAAGTGGGTTATCATTAATTGTTGCTTTTAAGTGTTTAAGTGATAAAGATTTGATACGTCATATACAGTATATTTTTTATTATTAGATTAGAAGGTATGTATAACTTATTACTTATTAGTCCGAAGTGTAACGAGGGACTATTGATAATGACGTCATGTCCCGTAATTCCCAATTATTTTGCTCATCCCAGGAACTGAACCTATGTTCCTTAGAGTGATCTTCGATACAATTATTGTGCAACAACAACGGAGTATTTCTTCCTTATAACGTAATGTTTATATTAATACTTATATAAGAAATGTCTACAATTTTATTAACCATTTTCTTTTTTCAAATACTTTGATTATAAAACTAAGAAATAAATGATACCAAAATTAGAGACATTGTGTGAAAATTGTAGAATTATCGAATGGTGTAAAGAATGTAATGAATATATTTACAAATACCCTCGGTCCATTTGTATTAATTGTTGGGGCATAACACTATTATTATGCAACGAATGTGAAAATCCGAATTGGTCGAATTGGTCAAGTGGAAACAAAATTGTAGATGATTTTATTAAAGAATGTAATAAACCAAATGAAATTTTAAAATGGATACCTTATAACCAATTTAGTGAAATCACATATATAGCAAAAGGTGGATTTGGTGAGATTTATAAAGCTAAATGGAAAGGAATTTATGACGTTGCTTTAAAGAAATTATATAATTCAAGAAATATAACTATGGATTTTCTTAACGAGGTATAGTAATAATCGCATTCATATACAATACATTTAAATTATGAGATTTTTTATGTTTATAATTCATATTACATAATAATTGTAGGTTAAAAATTATATTCATTGTATGGAATCCAACAGAACAAATTTTAGGACTTGTTCTTTAATCAGATTTTACGGAATTTCATATGATCCAATTACTCAAGACTTTATAATAGTAGCCGAATATGCTAATAAGGGTAATTTAAAACAAAATATTATGAAACCTGCAGAATTAGCATATTGCGTTGTATATGATGTTAATTTAAGTTCCAATGAAAATACTGTTTATCATATTTCTCGAGGACTTAATATCATGCATAATTCAGGTTTAGTTCATTGTGATTTGCACATAGGCAATATTTTACTAAAAGGTGGAGAACACGGCGGTAGAGACATTTACTTTAGTATAAGTGACTTTGGATTATGCCAACCTGCAAATATATCATCATCAATTAAATCATCAGGAATTTATGGTGTTATTCCATATATTGCTCCTGAAATATTTCTTGGTAGACAATATACGCCAGCATCGGATATATACAGCTTAGGAATTATTATGTGGGTAATATATTCATTTGAAGAGCCTTTTAACAACAGAAATCATGATGCGACTCTGATTCTTGATATTATAAGAGGTCTTCGTCCAGAAATTTCTCCAAAAATGGGTATTTCCAAATATATCATGGATTTAATGGAAAAATGTTGGGATTCAGACCCAAAAAATCGTCCAACAGCTCAACAAATTATAACAACGTTAGAAAATCATGAAAAAGAACCAAATGAAACTTATTTAGCAAATTTACATAGAAAAAAGTATAGTCTTCTTAAAACTATGAACCTAACCGGTAATAATCCTGGTACTTGTTATACAAGTCGTTTCTTATCGTTTCAAAGAGTTAAAGAACATCTTGCTAAATTAACTTTAGGTAATAATGTTTATAATTATTTTTTATTAAATTTGATTTATAATATTATTATTTTAAATTTTTGTAGAAGACTCTGGTCAAAATGATCTTTCTCTCCCAACATCAATTAATGATGATAACATAAAAGGTAAGCTAAATAATTAATCGATTTTATAATTTTATAAAAAATTGATTATATTTAAAATTAACAGATTTTGAGGATAAAATTATCGCTCTTCCAACTTTATCGAACACATCACCATCTCAGATCCCTTGAAGGTAAATCGTTTACGTTGTTATTTTGTTCATATGAATGACAATATCTTATACATAAATTAATAAACATCAATAAAAAACTTTATTTTGTTTACAGTTCGATATGTACGAGAGTGTATTGGACGGGCGGGTAATTTAGTTTTCCAAGATTGGTAGCTAAATTAGTTTTACTCATATAGTCTTATATTTTGGTATATATAGTGGTTTATTCTTATTTATATTTCATATTTATTCTCATTCTATATTTCTTATTTTGATGTTATCTATGAATAGCTTTATCAATGTATTTTATAAATTAAATTTATTTGAAGTAAAAAAAATATTTTTAATCTGTGAAATAAATTAAATTATTTGGACGCACAAATATTAAATTATATAAATTCGGAACGTTTATAGGGCAGGAGCTCCATATAATTAGTACATGAAGTTCCCACCATGTTTTTGTTCAAAATTTAACAATGTCACGTGATCGTACGGACCGGTTATTTTTTTAATTCTCTCGTGGGAAGGATCATTGGTTACAAAGAAAATGATTTTCCTTAACAAGTAATAATTAATGATTTACCTTCGGTATGCAATATAGTAATGAAGATTTGGCTGTGCAAAAATTTTTTCTGGCTTTTACAATTCTCATAACGGGTCGATCAAAATTTGTAAATTACGAAAAAACAAATACCTGTAATTAACCTGATTAATTGAAATAATTGAAATTTACACTTGATGTATTACAAGATCTTAACCGAAAATTAACCAGATCCAAAATCAACAAAAAAAATAAATTATTATATCCGGTACATTCTAAAAAAAATCATTTTTTTTTTTATTTAAATATGGAGAATCTCCCGTATTTTTAACAAATTTTTTTTCTTTCTTTCTATAAAAGAATAAATCAATCATGAATTGGATAATCACGAATTTGATACAAGATCTCAAGAAAAAAGTAAGCAAAAAATAAAGTTTATAATATTAAAGAGATCAATGTGAGATATCACTTAAAATTTTCCTTTTTTTTTTCTTAATTAGTGGAGTAGAATTACTGCATCAAATCATACGGTTTTTTTCATTCTTATTTCAGTAGCTCAAGCATTAATTTTAATTTACCTTCAATTTCGTATTTTGCAACGTAATGGGAGTAGTCTCCTAAAAATGTACAAATCAAGTAAATTAAGTGGAACGGAAATAGTTGAAAAATGTTATGATGAACAATTTCTTTCACTTTATGTGTTAACTATGGAAGATTTAATGTTTATTTTTTTTTATTTCTTTCAATTATATTTCTGTTTTAATGCGGTAACATTCTTAAATTTTTTTTTTTTTATAATAATATAGGAAAAAGAGTTTATTATAATACACGGTTCGTTTCAATAAATATGCTTTATCTTTTTTTTTTTCCAGATATTTCATCGAAATACAATACAAATTATTACTATCGCATCGATCAATCTGGCGTTTATCTTTATTGGAATTGTAAATATTCTTAGGATTATTTTTTCCTTAATAATTTTTTTTTAAAAAGAAAATTTCTTTTATAGATGCAATTATTTGAAATTGGGACTACAAGTAATGACTTTAGAAAATCATGCCCAGGATTGGAATTTTATCCACAATTTGAAAAGTTTGAGATATTTTTTATTGTAGCTTTGGCAATATTAGCAATGATTATGGGATATTTATCACATAAATTATATCGTCAATTTGGTTGGGATATTTATAAAGCATTTGGAAGTGACGTTAAGATGCAAAGTTAAGTTTTATAACAATATTTTCAATTGTTTCAATTGTTTGTAAATTATAACTTTATCCATTACAATTCCGCATATTCACGTTCTGTACTTCACGATAAATTGAAATACTGATCTATTATTAACATATTTTTTTTTAATTTTATAGAATTATATAAAACTAGGCTTATATTTATAATGTTATTAAAATTAGATGCACTTATGATCATATTATTTGCTGGATTACTTGTACCAGTTTTTTATATATTATTTGAAGGTGATAATAAACCTTTAATGATCGTTAGTACTATTATTATGATGATATCATTTTTATTTGAAATTTTAGCGTATAAATCGGTAATTATTCAAATAATTAAAATAATATATATATATATTTTTTTTTGTTTTTTTTTAAAAAAAATTTACTTATGTTGATTTTTTTTTTTTTTAATAGCTTAATAACGAATGGGCAACTGGGATGTTGATATTTATAGTTTTTTGGGTAGTTGCATTATTTAATTTTGCTGGATTATGTGTCGTGGTATTTAATTTATCATTAGAAACTAGTTGGTATATTGGATTTATTATGGGTAATTAATTTTTTTTTTTTATAATAATAATAATTTCAATTATTTATTATTTATT